TATTTGCAATTTATGGGAGCTAGCTTCATCTATAAAGCAGATGCATGTCGTTTATTATGAAATAAATATAACTTTTACTTTTAAGGCAATATTTATTTCAAGTTCATATACTTTGGTGGCAGAACGAACGAGCACGTCGTCTTATTACAAAATACGTTCTACGTAACCGGAACGGACCCGGATTTTTGTCCGGCCAAGGACTGTCAACTCGGCAGAATTCAGACAATATAACAACAAAAACTTATTACAAATCATAAAGAGATTTTATCAACATAAGATTGAATCCCTAGACACTATGGAACAATGCTTGATAACAGTACGCTATGTTTATTGCGATCTCTGTCCAGTGAAACCAGAAAGAAAAAAGTATGATGGGAGATAGCTAACAGCATGGACTGTCTTAAATAGAGGAGGGAAAATCAAAACATTAACCCGTTTCAACAATATTTCGGTASCTTATACCACACACACAGGATAATCCATTTAAAATTTTCAACGACTTAAAGAAGGAATTGTTCAGTTCGGGACCGACGCCACTTTGGGTGGCAAGGTTTGAGCTAGTAGTCATCGAAATCATCTAACGGGGGGTACAGGAAACGTGCTGTTTCGACGGGGCTCATTCGGCATACAAAGGGGAGGTTGGGACCATGCCGAAACTCAATGCAGGTCATATATTTGGTGCTGAGAAACTCGAGCTCTTCCTCTACAATAAATAGTGCTGAATCTGTTAATGGCTTCACTGTGGAAGGCACGCCAGTACGAATTTAAAATTAGTTGCGTCTTGCGTATTGTTTTGTTGTCGACGTAATCAAGGAATGACATCTTCATGCTCTTAGGAGATGGCTCCGTTTCAAGGAGACGACCGCTAGTTATGCCTTAACCGGAGGCATGCCTCACTAGGCACTTAAAGGGGAGGCATCCTKTTATGGTACGGAGTGTGAAGTTCTGACAAGTCGGAGGCGTTTTCCTTACGTTTCATATATCCAGGCGATTATATCGATGTTGCGTAACTATTGAACGACCGACCGATTTCTGTGTGGTGGAAACAACGTTTCTTTGTCCTTTCCTCATACTGCCGGCAATCGACTTGAGGACTTAATAACGTCTTTGTACTTTGGCAATAATCGAGGTCGTTTGCGAATAAGTAAATGAGGAGCACATATCGTTATGTTTGCTGTTAACCTTCCTATACCCGCGCCAAATGTTTTAACACCTTTACCCGAGCACGGTGTGACAGACCGTGACTTTGAGTCATCTTACCTGGTTATTATACTCTCGCAACAAAGTTGCTAAGTATTATAGTTTTGTTCACATAA